AGTTTCAGTGTATCTGGTTTTATGTGGAGGTCCTTTATCCACTTAGACTTGAGCGTTGTACAAGGGGATAAGAATGGATCAATTTTCATTCTTCTACATGTTGTCTTCCAGTTGAACCAGCACCATTTGTTGAAAATGCTGTCCTTTTTCCACTGGACAGTTTTAGCTCCTTTGTCAAAGATCAAGTGACCATAGGAGTGTGGGTTCATTTCTGGGTCTTCAATTCTATTCCATTGATCTTCCTGCCTGTCTCTGTACCAATACCAGGTAGTTTTTATCACTATTGCTCTGTAGTACAGCTTGAGGTCAGGGATGGTGATTCCTCCAGAAGTTCTTTTATTGTTGAGAATAGTTTTCGCTATCCTGGGTTTTTTGTTATTCCATATGAATTTGAGAATTTCCTTTTCTAACTCTGTGAAGAATTGAGTTGGGATTTTAATGGGGATTGCATTGAATCTGTAGATTGCTTTTGGCAAGATGGCCATTTTTATTATATTAATCCTGCCAATCCATGAGCATGGGAGATCTTTCCATCTTCTGAGATCTTCTTCAATTTCTTTCTTCAGAGACTTGAAGTTCTTGTCATACAGGTCTTTCACTTGCTTGGTTAGATTCACACCAAGGTATTTTATATTATTTGCAACTATTGTGAAGGGTGTCATTTCCCTAATTTCTTTTTCAGTCTGTTTATCTTTCATGTAGAGGAAGGCTACTGATTTGTTTGAGTTGATTTTATAACCAGCCACTTTGCTGAAGTTGTTTATCAGGTTTAGGAGTTCTCTGGTGGAAGTTTGGGGGTCACTTAAGTATACTATCATATCATCTGCAAATAGCGATATTTTGACTTCTTCCTTTCCTATTTGTATCCCTTTGACTTCTTTTTGCTGTCTAATTGCTCTGGCTAAGACTTCCAGTACTATATTGAATAGGTAGGGGGAGAGTGGGCAACCTTGACTAGTCCCAAAATTGCAAAGTTTCTGTAAGGCAAAGGACACTGTCAATAGGACAAAACGACAACCAACAAATTGGGAAAAGATCTTTACCAATCCTTCATCTGATAGAGGGCTAATATCCAATATATACAAAGAACTCAAGAAATTAGACTCCAGACAACCAAATTACCCTATTAAAAAATGGGGTATAGAGCTTAACAAAGAATTTTCAACGGAAGAAACTCGAATGGCCGAGAAGCATCTAAAGAAATGTTCAGTATCCTTAGTCGTCAGGGAAATGCAAATCAAAACAACCCTGAGATTCCATCTCACACCAGTCAGAATGGCTAAGATTAAAAACTCAGGTGATAGTAGATGCTGGCGAGGGTGTGGAGAAAGAGGAACACTCCTCCATTGTTGGTGGGACTGCAAGATGGTGCAACCACTTTGGAAATCAGTGTGGCGGTTCCTCAGAAAATTGGACATAGCATTACCCGAGGATCCAGCTATACCACTCCTAGGCATATACCCAGAAGATGCTCGAACATATAACAAGGACATATGCTCAACTATGTTCATAGCAGCCTTATTTATAATAGCCAGGAGCTGGAAAGAACCCAGATGCCCTTCAACTGAGGAATGGATTCAAAAAATGTGGTATATTTACACAATGGAGTATTACTCAGCTATTAAAAACAATGAATTCGAGAGGTTCCTAGGTAAATGGATGGAACTAGAAATTATCATCCTGAGTGAGGTAAGCCAATCACAAAAGAACACACGTGGTATTCACTCACTGATTATTGGATATTAGCCTAGAACCTTGAAACGCCCAAGATGCAACTCACAGGCCACATGAAGCCCATAAAGAAGGAAGACCAAGTGAGGGTGATTCGGTCCTTCTTAGAAGGAGCAACAAAATACTCAAGGGAGCAAATATGGAGACAAAGTGAGGGACAGAAACTGAAGGAGGGGCCGTCTCAAGACCACTCCACCTGAGTATCTATCCCATGTGCAATCACCAAAGGTAGATGCTGATACGGAAGACAGGAAGTGCATGCTGATAAGAGCCTGATATGGATATCTCCTCAGAGGCCTTCAAGAGTCAGACATATTCAGAGGCAGATGTTGTTCAATGGCACAACTAGCCATTGAATTGATCATGGGGTTCTCAATAGAGGAGTTAGAGTGAAGACTGAAGGAGCTGAAACTATTTATGGCACCATGAGGAGAGCAACAATACCAACCAACCACAGCTCCCAGGGTCTAAACCACCAGCCTGGGAGCACTTAAGGGGGGATCCAGGGCTTCAGCTGAATATGTAAAAGTGGAGGGCCCTGCTGGGCATAGGTGGAAGAAGAGAACCTTGACCTCATGAAGGCTGGATGCCCCAGGGGGTGGGAATTTTGAGGGTGGGGAGGTGGGGAGGTAGATAGAGGTTACATCCACAGAGAAGAAGGAGGAGGGGCGAGGGGATTGGGGGTTCCGAGGGGGTGGTGGGGGATGGGGTAAGGGGACAACATAGGAAATGTAAATAAATCATCCAATAAAAAAAAAAAAGAAATGAAAATGTTTGAGGTGTTGGGTATGTTAAACCTGAATTAAACTATGTAAACACTGGCAAATAAATGGTAAACAGTGGCAAAGGCATATGCATTTGTGTTTTGTGTATCAGCTTTCCTTACGTATTAAAGTGTCCTCATACATTTATAGAGTCTCTCTAAACAATTCAGTAGCAATGTATCCAAAACTATCAATTTTCAGGTGAGAAGAGTTTTCAGGTGAGAAAATTTTCTGCTGAGCTATTGTTTTCCCAAGAACACTGTCCACTGTCCCACTTGTCTCTTTTGATCACTTCTAGAAATTGAGAGTGTAAGATACTCTATGTGACTGTAGGAAGTCTTTTTAAAAAACATTCTCAGTTTCTCAGCAACAAGAAAAAGTCAGCATTATATATATGTATATATAATGTATATGTGTATGTATATGTATGGTGAAAATATGAAAGATACTTTAGATTTTACATCATTTTGAATGGAGAGTCTGATGCTCCAGAAGGATATAAATCGAATAAGAACTGACTAACTACTTTCTCTGTCTCCCCTCCCTGAAAATGTTCACAGAACTATGTATTCGGTGCTTTGTCCAATCAATTGTCTGGTTCTTAACCTTTAGTCCAGAAAAACAATGCAGACTTTGTTTAGAAATATCAAATTCCTCAACATGGACCAACTTTCAGTTATGTGTTCTGCTTCACAGAGAAGGGATACAAAGCTGGCCTCTGTGAAGTACAGATCCAGAAAAACTTAATTGAATGCCAGCCACAGTGAGACCTCAGAGAAGCTTCTCCTTCAGCTGAATGACCTTCAGTGACTCCAGCCGCCTGAGGCCAGACCTGAAACAGCATATGATTCTATTTGTGCCTAGCTACTGAGAATAGCTCACTGGAACCTTCAGTTTTTATCTAACCTGGAGAGTAATCACCACTGTCCGTGGTGTTACAATGACACCAAAAGCAGTATTTAGTTTCTCCTGCGGAGTTCAAAATGTCTGAAGTAAAAAGAAAGGAAAAATGTGCAGAGATAACTGCAAGACATGAAGTGGGAGATTATTTTTAAACTAATTATCAGATGAGAAAAATAAGACAATACCATTTCTAAATGCTGGGAGTGAGAATAAATAAAAAGGCAAACTAACATCTACTAGATATAACCATAAATACAGCAGAGAAAAATAAATCAGTGAAATGAAGCACACCAGAGAATGTGCCAACCGAGAAAGGAGCAGAGGCTTGGCTGACATTTCTATCTAGTGTGTGAGCCTCCCTAAATCCCTTTTCCGGTGTGTTTTCATCTAACACTTGCCTCAGAGGACCAATTCTACAATATGCTGTAAAAACAAGAAAGGAGAAAAGAGTGAATGGCCAGAGCTAGTGATAATAAGGGCATAGACACAGGAAGCACTTGTAGATAGCATATTCATACAGGACAGAACTCTAAAGGTATAAATCCATCACTTTCATCAACCTATTGGAACAAAGGAAATGCTGAAATCTGAGTGTTGGCTATTGATCTTTCGACAGAAATATTTGTTCTTTCCCTTTAGTTCCTGAAAGAATAGCTTAATTAAGAATGAAACAAAAATAGTAATTTGCTGTCATTGGTGACAAAATCACAATGTCTAATTTTTGCATAGCTATGACTGCAAAATAAAGTCAAGGTGATGGTGTCTTGCTGGTGTTTTGACATCACAATGGTCTGCATTCATGGTCTCTGACTTTGTCTGAAATTCCTACCTCTATCTTCAGACATCATTTCATATGTAGATCTAATAATCATTAACATGAAGACTTCTGGAGTTGGAAAAGCCCTTCATCCAGTATGACTGAGATCCTTGACAAAGGTATACTTCAATACTGCCAACCATGTTTAAAAATATGTATATATCGGAAACGGTATTACAAGCTTAGGGATTCGGAAAGCAGCCTAGATCTTATTTTTCCCTGGTATACTTTGTGGGAAAACTACCAATCAGCACATTTTTTGTGTGTTTGCAGCTCCAGACTGTGAGTCTACACACTTTCCAGTACTGGGAACTAACAGCATGGACTGTATCTGCTGGGTAGATTGGTAACTCACTGTTTTGCATACTGCCTTTTCTATGGGAACCAATATGATTAGTCTCACTTTTAATCAAACCTTGTAGATTACAAATTGTTCAATGACAAAACCATGTAAGTCCAAATTAACTATTACACTGGAACACTATTAAGAAATACAGTTTTGAAAAGTTATGAAGTACTCCAAACGCATGCAAAAAATAAACATCAAAATTACTTTAATCTAACTACTGAGTCTTACCATGACAAAGGTACAACATTACCATGGAAAATATAACCTGGAATACAATTAATGTATCCACTTTCATGGTTAAACCTGAGAATCACTTGGGTTGAATTTATAATCCTGAAATACAGCATAACACAGCAAAGAACACTCCCTACAGGATATTGACCAGAAGCCTCAACAAACAAGTTTACATGTTGCTATCTTAACAGTCCCTTAATATATACTGTCTCTCAAATATGAATGTTATTAACATCACATTCAGGAGAAAACTAAGACTCATGAGCTGGCTGTTTCAAATGTTTTGCTTCAAAACAACACTTGTAATGTAAAAGTGAGAAGATAGTATGTGTGTATTATTAAATTTATAAGAACAGATACTGTGCTTTATCTTAGCCAAAAGGCCAGGAAGCAATGCCATGTGGATTCTATGCTATGCCACCTCTGTTAGCCTTATAAAATTTCTTAAACTGTAGACTATTTAATTCTTTTAGTCTTGTTTGTTGATATAGCATGTACATGTATAATATAGTTTACATTTTAAAGGTACAATTCTATTATCATTGTTTTCTATCCTTAAAATGTGTACAATTGTATAACCTTTATCCAAAACAACAAGCAAAACAAATATGTGCCCTATCTGCACTAAATCTATTCATGCCTCTGTTTGATTTCTCCCTCTCCTCCTGTTACCTTATTTGATTCTGCCCTGGTGTGTTCCATTTTTAATGTGTCATATAAATCAATCATCTAATACATAGTTATTTTAAACTAGCTTTCACTTGACATGATTACTGTCTTAGATACAAACATATCACTACATGCTTCTATAGCTCATCCCCCAGTGTGCATGAGAACTGTCCCATTTTATAGATAGACTATAGTTTGTACATCCATCCTCCAGCTGAAGAACATTTGAGTTATCCAAATTTTGACTATTACAAACAAAGACATTATAGTTATCCAAACATCCAACATTTGAGTTATCCAAATTTTGACTATTACAAACAAAGACATTATAGTTATATGCTTTTTGATGCTTTCTATTGAATGAATTCTCTAAAATTTGGAATTCTGGGGATACAGTAAGCATCCATTCCACCTCTCAAACAATGTCCTAGTGTTCTTCACAATGATTGTGGTATTTTGAATCTCTGATCAGCAGTTGCACTGGAGTTCAAACTGCAGGGATAAAGTTGTAGCTCATAGGTATGCTGTATGCTTTTGCTCAATATCAGAAAACATAAAAATATCTCAACTGTTCTGTTTTTTATAATACTATTGCCATATTTCTTGTTTGCATTTTAACCATTCTAGTGACCATATAATAGAATCTAACTATAAATTTTCAGTACAGTAATAATAAATTAAAAATAAATTTAATTGTACATTCTTGTTTGTCATCGTTATCTCTTTGTGAAACATATATTTAAATACATTATCACGTTTGAAATTAATTGGTTGTTCTTACTATTGCCTTTAAAAATCTTTTTATATTCTAGATACTACTTTTCTAGAAGACATGGATTTGGAAGTCTTTTTACCCATTGCTCATTGTTTAATTGGAACAAGTTTCATGTGGACATAGATGACAGCAAGAAGTTTCTAGGACCTACACTTTTCAGATTCCCATACCAGAACCCATCACAGCTTTGTCTTCTCAGCTTTGCCTACCCTGAAGAGTCAGGAAAATAACTGGCATTACCTTTGAGAGGGCCTTACTAGACATGATGGTTTTTTTATCTTTATAATTTCTAGGATTTGGGGCTTTGGCAATTATTATAAATGTGGGATATATTTATTTGTTTAGATGCAAAGCAGTTTTTTATAATTTGAGAATGTAAAAATAATTTGAAATGATAGTTTATGATTTGTTGACAACTAAAAACAATAATCAATCACTACCTGTGATTGATAAATATTTATTTATGAGGCATATAAAGAAATATGGAAGTATGAACATTCATTTATATCAGAATTCAGAAAACACCAAACCCTTCAAAGAAATTCACTTAGCATTAAATAAAACTAAGTCTCCAATAATAATGATGGCCTTCTAACTAGCCATTTGAATTCAATTATTTGTCAATGAAGAGTTTAGTATAGAGGAAAGGTAAAATTTAGAGTACTTAAGATGAGTACTACATTAGAAAAATACAAGAACACATGAAGACAATATAAAAAGCAAATGAAAAATTGAAAAAAACATGTGCACTGGAAAGAGCACACTCTAATACCAACACTTGGAAATATAGTGGAAGTTGGGGAGTAGAATACTACCACATTCCACAGAAGCAACAAGAAAAATGTTAATGTACACAGGGAGTAGCTTGATTGATGTATAAGGTATTAGAATCTCTTAAAATGAAAAGAGGATCCAGGCTGAAACATATCTTAAGTTCTTTCTGAAGATTTTTTTAAATAAGCAGAGAGGAATGCATAAGCGAAATGAGCAACACAAACATTAGTATGACTAGCTGGACTTACACATAAAGAAGTGAGAGAAAATGCAGGACAAAAGGTTTTGTGAAAGTTTTCAAGAATAATCAATGTACCCATCCCAAAAGAAGGAAGGGAGGAAGGGAGGGAGGGAGGGAGGGAAGGAGAGAAGGAAGGAGGAAGGGAGGGAAGGAGGGAAGGAGGGAAGGAGGGAAGGAGGGAAGGAAAGAGGAAAGAAGAAAGAAGAAAGAAAGATAGAAAGAAAGAAAGAAAGAAAGAA